CCGCTGCTATTACATCACAATTAATAAACAATGTCAATAATAAACCAATAAGTGAATTAATGCAGCTATTGAACGAAACATCTAGAAATTGTAATTTACAACCTCTATCTTATTCAAAAACCTTATGTTTCAGTGGTATACGCAAAGCTATATTCATAATTGCACATGACTTGAATAAAAAACAGTTAATTTTGTCTAAATATTGAGTAATTTAAGTGGAAAATTGAATCGTATCAATAGTCAATTAACAGAAGGTTTTTCTTTCCTTTTAAATTTATCATCGCTCAGTGTTCAAAATAATCTATTGTTTAAATCAATGCATGTGTATTCAAGGTTATGGAATGTAATTAGTAAACAAAATTCCCGAATTTTAGATAAATTAAATATTTTCTCAAATTATACACATTTACAACTGTAAAGTTTATTTTGATTTTTTCTGTATTCTAAGTTATGATTTTAAATTTTTGAAAGAGAATTCTTTAACATCTTTTATAGTCCCACTTTTTTCGACTTTTTGTATAACATGACAGATGTATGTATGCTAATCTATATAACTTTATCCCACTTATTCATGATTTTTTTTGTACACAGTATGTACATTTCTGATTGTTTTTGTCTTTCGAATGGATTTGTAATGTATGATAGATGAATAAACCCAATTGTCAGATAGTATATTTATTTATTGTATTTTAATTGGATATTTTTTTGTAAACAAATAAAGTTAATGCAATTCATTTAGTTGTATTGATGCAGAAGTATTACTTAAGTACAAATGCAAACTCATAGCTGGTTAGTGATTTCATTTGTTAAGCTTTGAGACACATTTTTTGCATGAAATGTATTGATACTTAGCTCATTAAACACAATTGAGAGGAATGAGGTTGTAAAACAACCGAAAGAGTAGTGAAGCTCGGCTCAGGAAAATATATCTAGTAATGTTTTAAATCTTCATTTTCTGTAGTACTAGCCGTATTAGTAAAAGTTCAGAACAGAACTAATAACGGCTAGACTAAGATATGACATCAGTCTGCAAAATCACTGACTATGGTCGTAGTAAAGTATCTGATTGGAGTCCTCGCAACCAATTGTTGGAGACTAGGCGTGATTGGAAACAGAAGACAATTGCTCGGACGCACTCATTCTTAATCTATTCTCAAGTCTTGAGTTTCAGTATTTTCTCCATTTTTCGCATGCTATTCAAATACATCTCTTCTTTTCGAACCACACTATTCAGTGTTCAGGCTTTCTCACTGCCAATAAGACTACTATTCAACTTTTGGTATTCATCTTGTTAATTTCATCTCCCTTTTCTGATATGGTATGGTTAAAATACATTTATTCCAATTTCTGTCTTAATTAAGACTGACTAACGTGTAGGATTTGAATCAAGAACTTAGTGGTTGAAGGAGGATTATCAATGGAACTTTGGTAGATATTTATATTATGAATTGAGATAGAATCAAATTTATTATTTCCTAAATAAAAAAAACTGCGAGACTATTCTAATACAGGACCTTATCTATGCTAGTTGGTTAGACCAGTCGAGTAACACGAAATACGTTGACAACTATCCTCTGCGAGTAGGGCTAGAGAAGGGAAGTCTTATGTTAGTCAAATCCCCACAAGAATAAAGTTGCATTCAAGTTTTCGAATTATGCATCGACGATTAAGCCATTATTATTCAGAGTTTTATCAATTTGAGCAATTTTTACTGAATGCAGTGAATTAAGCAATATAATGAAGGTTCACTGAAAATAAACTTACTTCATTCTGAGTGAGTGGATCCAAACAAAACACACTAAAAGTCAGTGACAAAGTCCAGTCTAAGTTAATATCTGAATTTTATAATCGATTTCCCATTCATTGCATTATTTAGAGGTTTGGCGCCTCCAACTACTAAAGATAAATTATATTGGACAATATATTGTTAACTAGTTGAAACAAAGTGGTTGTTGAACGAACAGAATGGTTGCATCCAAACATTTAGGGCTGTAATAGTACCAGAATTTCAATGCTCCTGTGTCAAAAGTTTACCATTTGTGTCTGTGACTTAAATACTGTGTTGCTAGCTGCTTTTTCCTAGCTTCTTTACACAATCTTGTTAAGTGTTATAAAAGAAGTAGAATGTTGAATAATAGTCCAATTTTGCATATACGAAAGTTTGATCAATAGCTATCAAAAGCGTGAAGGATAACATATTTGAACTGCACATCATTCAAAACCCAGAGAGCATATTAAATGTAAATGAAATACTGTACTGTAACCCACAGAACAGAGGTGGTGTTAGTGATCAATAATAGCCTGCTTATTTCAATTATCCCAGCGAAACATTGACTTATGTTGTATTTGTAATAACTGATGATTCATTTGTACGTGATAGCGCTCTGATTACTATTTTCAAATATAATCCATTCATTCGTGCTCATTTAGTTCTGCGTGCATTACATTGCACTATTTTGTTAAATCTTAGTCAGCAAATCAGTTCGAATACTTCATATAACCATAGGTTATGGTTGTTCTTTAGCTACTTTTTTGATTTCTCCGTACTCACATCATTGTGTCATCTAAAGATTCTATGTCACTCGTTTTGTATCGGATTATTGTGATACGTAAGAAGATCTTCAAATATGACAATATAGGGCGTATATAGTGGAAAATAAGCCAATATGGATGCCCTAATATGGAGAAACATGGATGTAATTATAAAGTTCTCGAGTTAAATGAGATGACTACAAACAATATAGATGGAATAGCACTTGTCGTAAAACAACCCAACAACTTTACTGGCATTTATTTAATATCTCTACCCAAGATCCCAGCTTGTGAACGACACTTTATGTAATTGTTAGTAAAATTTATTTATTCTGGAAACAGTTTCCTGGGACGGAGACGCTTGCGTTAGAAGACGAATTCACGATACGAAACACTATATATCATTTTGTTAGTTAGCTTACGATATATAGTCCTATGAAAGCCACTTTTGGATCACTTGGTAGCACTTGAATGGAAATATTTCGTTACGAATGTCCTGATCATATATTATGTTTTAGCAGAACACTATGGTTTATCTCGAACTCGTATACTTGAACAAGAACAAGTGAGAAAGCGACAGCATATTCTTGTGTGTTTTTGTTATGTCCCGACAAGAATAATGAATGGTAGCTTTTGGGATCCAATAACGGACGAATACTAAACGTATATTTCTATTGTATAATTATTAAGTAACGAAACTATGCATATTCATATTCCTCTTATTTGTAAGCTTTTTTTAATCCATAAACTATTACTGTATGTTTTAGCATTCTTGAGTTATACCCAGTATATTAATTACTACCTCCCTCATTCACAGCCACATCTCTTTAATTCTTGTACAAATGTTGTTTCATATTTTATTGGTGCGATGTAGTCTGTCTGATTGGTATATAAACTGAGTGTGTTTGAAATAAATGATTTATATCACAGAGGCTCGGATTGGTATTCTGGACTCAAGTGGCTGGGCTAGGCAGGAAGCAGGACCAATTAGGACTCTAGGCTGCTCATACGGGTTTACACGTCATTGGTCCGATCGATAACTCACTGCTCTATAATCGGCGGTTACAAGTTATCATAGTTTTTCCCGTTGAAAACAGTCATTTTTCTTGTTAACTACTTCCAATGGAATCTGGTCCCTCACTGGTTAAGGTGTCACGGAATCAACGTTTATTTAGTGGATGACATATATCTAGAAAGGACGGAGCAGGGGTTTGAATTTAGTGACCCTGGTTGTCTGTAGACAGGCAGATACGCAACATACACTCTCGCCGAACATTCTAAATGGTTGACACCTATATATGTTTTGGTTGTTACTAGTATACCAAGATCACATTACCAGGATCTGGGGTCGAACACAATTCTAGAATTCAGTGGAAGAGCTAGTGATGTCTGTGTGAGATTCCTGAAGATTAAATTTCAGATCACCATCGTATGTTCACTCCCGAAATAGTATCACATCCTTTTGAAGTTTTCACCAATATTGTTCAACTTAGAGGATATCTAGAGATTTTATCGTTAGCATGAATGGCGTCTAGGTGGCAAAGAATTTGCAAGAGATTATTATTGAATATTAGGAAATAGAGACGTCCATAGTGAAAACGCGGGTTCTTCCAGTGACCAGTTCTGATGTAGTCAGTTGATTCCAGTATGAAGTTCCTTATCTTGCGATTAGTATGAGATTAGGTTTATGAAATATCCACATTCCATCATTTCAGTGAACATGGATTGCGACCAAGAATAAAATTTTCAGGTGAAATAGGACGCGCTCAGACTCTTATTATTTTCTCAAATTGTCATTGACCATAAATTTGGCTTAGCCGTGACATACAAAATCTAATAGTTTCCGTTTTCCGCCACAGGTCCTTGGATTGTTTCGGAAAGTTGTTCGTCCTCAGTAATTGGACGAGTCCTGATTCAGTAGTATTGGGATTAGTGGCTTATCAAGTGACTGGATGATTCAAAATTATTTACATAAGGTAATAATCAGGTGATTTTACGCTAAAATGAAACTATCCTCTAGTTCTTATTGTTCTACACTAGTTGTGTGTTCAAATTATGCCAATGATATAAACTGCCGAATGAAAATCTTCACCACAAACTCTTCCAGAGATAACTAAGTATAAGGGTGGCAGTGGAAGACACTGAGCATAGAAGGCTAAGTTTGTTTATGGTCTTTTGAGTCGATATACCTCTCTAGATTCAATAAAATCGGTTCATCTACCATCTTCTTGTGGATCGGTGTAGTTTATGATGATAGGACTTCTTGAAGAATAGAAAGTACTTTGTTAGATTAATAAAACACTTTATTTTGGGGCTTTTGTTTCAAACTTTTTAGATATTGTGTAATCGATTTGCAATAAGTGCTGAGTATATTTATCGGAATTTTTTGTTTTACTCTGCCTAGACAGTTTCTTTTGAAGGTCATTGACCTAATATCTGAGTACATTTTGATAATTTCGGAAACCATAATGATATTTCGTTTCTTACTAGTCATCTCCATAAGCACTTTTAGTGTGTTCGGAACTTCAATATGTGAGTTTTCTGAGTATTTGCAATTGTTTTAAACCGTTTTTGCTGTCAAATAGTGTGTATTCATTAAATCATTTTGTATTGGTGTCAATATTTTAACAGGATTTTCGATTCCCCAAACTAATGTTTAATATTGCTGAAGCAGATGTAGCACAAGCTTATCAGTGTAAATAGTTAATCAAAATTGTATAATTAAAAATGACATAGATCATATTCCATTTTACTTGATAGCCATATATTTCAGCTTCAAATAAGAATTAACCTTTTGGGTGTGTCAACACAAGATAACCGGTCGTTAATAATAAATACTTCAGAAACAATGTGAATGGAACTTTCTTTTGAAATCATATTGAGGTACGAAGTGTATTGCATGATAGGTTAAGACGTCCAATGCCTTTATTTTACATCCTGCTATGTTGTGCTACGAAATTCGAATATTTCAATTTTTTAAAACTCAATCTGACTGAGAAATAGTATTAATCGACCATAATAGACGATGTGTTTGACATTGCTAATTGACAAATAGCTCGTAGCACAGTGACGTTAGTCCGTTTATTAGCTAATTTGCTTCTCCTAACTGTCAGCGAAATGTATATATGAAAATGTAATGTTTTTATCAACCAACAGATCGTCCGCCATACCCCCGACGTAATTTGATGATAAAATATGGTTTTTATGCGTGCTGAGGAAGTTTCTTTTGATTATTACCTCTATGTTTCCAATCCTTATGGAACATTGGTTTCAGTTCCATTTTCCACCTTATCTTTCGTATTTATTACGTAAAATGTGTCGGAAAAAATGTCATCAGAGGCTAAAATTTTAAATATCACTTGCACTTTTTGAAGCAAGTTTTATTCTGACTGAGAAACAAATACGTTAATATAGGATATAGTGAGAAGCATATCAATATGGCTTCCGATATCAGCATTATAATATATCCAACAGCAAAAGACTTAAATAGGTTTATGGTTTGATGTACTGCTCTAATATCTGTCTGACGTGAAAAACATTGAACATAGCAAAAGTGATTTTAAGAATTTATCGATTGTTAACATATTTGCTAAAAATTATCGAATTGTAGTGTTCATTCAAAAAATTTGAAACTTTGTTTATGGTCTTTGTAATAACTGTCACATCAAAAGGCAAAACCAAAATTCACTGTTTAGCTATATTTTGTTTGACCTTGTTTGCAGATATTCTTTTTAAATTAAAAATCATGGTAGCAGAGTATTTGGTATTGTTCCACAGGTTTACTAGTGGAAAGTAAAAATCTAAAATAAATATACTTCTCCCGTACTCTTTAAAAATAGATTTTATTACCTCTTGTGAACAATATGTTTCTGTGTTCAAACGACATACAATCCTCGAAAAAATCATTATTTTTTCTTATTCTCACGCGAATGATAAAACAAATGTGCATGCACTTAAAAGTATTCTCAAAATTTCCAATTTTCAGGCGAATTTGAGATCAAACCCCTGGTATCATTAATTTGGTGAATTGTAAAATTCATTAGATAAGTTTATCTCTGTATAAAATATTATCAGCTATAACGTTTACTCATTTTTCTACCATAAAATTAATGATTAAATCGCTATCCCCATCTCGTTTTCATTTTTAAGCTATAAGGTAGGTAAGCTATTTTAGCATCTTCATAAACTTCTTGATTAAGCTAAACATTATATTACACGTTATTATTAGCGTAGTGTGGAATAATTCCTTTACTAATTTTGGAGTTCGGGATTTACAATAAAAACTAAACTTTACTTCTCGATGATTAGTTTTCTGAAGGCAATTATAAATAAATATCACATTGTTCTCTGTGCTATTATCGCTGACAGCATCATATTATTCAGATTTATGCGGAATATGACTAACGGTAAGAAATAAACCTTTTGGAAGATTAATACTTTGTTTATATCCACCTAACTTTGTTTACTTATGTTAATCATAAAAAAACGCTGAATGAGTTTATATAGGATAGACTGAAATCTATTTGAAACCTTTTTGGCTAATAAGAATCGTGACTGCTTTTGGACTAGAATTTTTAGAAACACTATTGAGTACGATAATGGAATTAAGTCTTTGAAAAAAAATTATTGTTTCACAGTAAAAAATGTTTACAATTAAAAATTATCTATATATACATATTCGATGGTAAAATCGGACAGAGTTGAGTACGCCGCCGTAAACCGATTGAAAGTGGTTGGTGATCTTATATATTCGTTTTTATTGACGTTTGTAACCGATGGAAGTATTGAGGCAAAGAAGACTGGGAAGAAGAACAGAATAACACTAACATTTTTAAAACAGCAAAATGCACTGAACAACTAATTTGCTTATAGTGATGCTTAGTACACCTTTATGTCAATAGAAAGAACACATATTAGGTAAATTTCCATAAATTTTGTATACTGTCATTTTTCTTCCATGTCCTTCGTAAGCAAACTACACATTTATGTTGACTATTTTTCTGAGTTGTTTGTCAGATTTATGTTCATTTTAAACAAAATTAGGGAAGAACAAATTTCATTGTAAAACTAACTGACCAAGTGAAAATTTACTAAAATTGCAGCACATTCGAACCTCGTAATGGTTTATTGTGTTGAAAACAGACAATACAAACAATGCAGTATAGTTGAAATTGAAAAGAAGGGTTAATGTCATGATACATTACATAAGAAGTAACATGAATATATTACACTGAAATGAAACCAGTCAGGGTTTGCTGTAAGATAAAGATTGTAAGGGTGAATAAAAAATTTTCTTGATTTAGTGTTATTCAGGTGGACAATGTAATTGAGATGAAGCAAAAGTATAGTGTTTTGGACTTGTATTTTATTACGTAATGAGTTAACAATTTACGATTATAAGAAGAACAATAATTCACCGGACTGCGGATCATTGTCTTTCAGTGTTCAGCAACCGATAGAAGATTTATTTGAATCCAAATTTTTTATTATCTTTTAAAGGAAGTAAAAATGAATAGGATTTTTTTTCTTTTCTAAACAAAATCAAAGAATACAGTCAGTAATTTTATATGGAACATAAAAAGAGTTAACTTTGTATTTTCATTCATGTTGAAGCTTGAGTAGTATACAATGGATTAGTAGTCATAAAGAAAATTATTATTCGAGTAGACAAACAATTTGATCTTGTTCGTTGATGAGGAAGTTACATTTTGTACAAACTGAAGAAAGTTTTAATAAAATCAAGAATTTAATTCTAGTGCTTGTAATTTCAGATTTAAAACGGTTGAAAGTATCCACGTTGTGAATTTTGTCACATAAATAAATTGACTTTGATTAATTTATATAAGAGTGTCGTCGATATTATTAATTTTTTGTAATTCATTATTGAGTATGAAAACTAGGAAAATGGAAATAACAAGAGATATGTGAATTGTGCTTTTTATTGAACACTGTTTGCTAAAACATAGTGAATACCATCAAACACTAAAACGAAACAACTTGTAAATGATAGATGATGACAGTTAAATTGACGGACAACTGTTGTATACTGCTGTTATGTGTAAGATGTACATGTAAACTATGATTGGGAATATATATGTGAATAGATCCCATCTTATGTACAATAACTAGTAAATCATACGTTTAATCACAAATTAGTGCATCTGATTCTGTTTCGTCGTTAAGCGTATTGCGATTCACTTATCAATTAAGTGAAGATAAATTTAAAGAACTCAGTCGGAGCAACCATTCATAAAGTTTTCACATCACAATAATCATCACAATTAGATGCTAAGAATAGTTAAGTTAATTTCTCTTTTTCTGATTTAGGGATTTCATTTATTCAATGAGGTTTTATACAATTTCAGTGTAATCAAGTGTTGAACTACACGCCTAGATGGCCATGAAATCAATTAGTGTCTAATGTTTCGATAAACGTGAGAAGTTGACAACCATGTTCATCGGTAGTAAAGCACACAATTGGAACGAAGCATAGAATTAACATCATCACAGCCTTTAAAATGCTGCATAGAAATTGTCAAAGATGAATTCTTAGGTTTATAGAAGCTTTGGATATTGGTAAATTCAAACCCCTCTTATGTGTACAAAAAACATTTGTCGTAACTTTGGATTTTTTGGTAATCTTGAAGCCAATATCTGGTCTAGGGTAGTGCAGCAATTTCATTTTCTTTCCATACTGTGTTAATTTTCTCTCTCCTTTAGTTACAATTATCAATGTTTATCTAAAATTTCGTTTGTTTGACCTTGATTAATTTTCATACAAAATGCCTTGAAAAGTATGTGCGACCACACTGTTCAAATGTATGGGGAAAATACATCACATTTTTTAGGTTTACTCCGTCTTTTCATTGTTTAATGGAAATCCTTTATCTATGTATTTTTGATTTACTGTGTTCAGGATATTACTCTTTTTAGACTGAAATATATATAAAACAGTTGACGTTTCACTGTGATAAATTGTAATAAACAGATGCATATTTCTGATAAATTTTCAAATCCACATTAAGTTTTTACAATTTGAAGTGAACACACACTGAGCAATTATAAAAATATCCAAAACGGATCTGACTGCCATAACCTTGATTGTCTGAATTAAGAACCATTAAGCCAAATAATGTCGTACTTATGTACATATGAGCTGAGTTAATAACCAATTGAAAGATCATCTATTCACAATAAAATAACAATTGAAAACTTATAAGTGTACGACAAAATGAATAGTAAAATCCATAAGTTAATATCCAATTATTGTTTGATTTTCATAGTTCATTTAATAGAGCATTATTATAACTGATCAAAGATAGCTTATTCGTAATATTTTACAGCTCTAGGTTCCTTTCCCACTTATTACACCAGGGATAAAATGTCTGGGAAAGGTTAATTAACCTAATGTTTGGACAAAAACAATCATATCCACTAAATATAGGTTTTCTGAATCAATTTCAGAGTAAACTGTCTAAGTTTCAAATAATATAAATACATTGGAAGAATTAGAATACGTAAATATTTTCCTA